TAGGCCACAAGCTGCGATATCGAGCTGACCTTTAGCTATCCTCCTGTGTAAAAACCTTTTTCGGAGTCACCTCTCGGTGCTGCTTCCAAGCCAGTTGGAAAAGGTCTCGCTATACTTATATGAGGTCTCCTGAACAAATTTATATAACAACAAACAGAGTAACCTTATTCGGAGCCCCGTAGCTGTTAATGTCTTTTACCTTATTTTCCTCTTTTATACACCCTTTTTCATATTTTGCGAGCGTTTAAATACTGTCGACATGCTTAATACTCATAGTTACGGACAGAACGCGTCGAAGACGTATTGGCCATACGGCTTATCATTAGAACACGACCTCTAGGCAGCTCCCGTAGGCAGCTAGGTAAATACAGCTCCTGGACCTATTATTATTATGGTGAGCAGAACTTATCATTATAGATTATGTTTTTTATCTATCGCGAGATTATCAACGTACTTGCGTTTCGGTTTAGCCCAGCCTACTAGAATCGTGTTATTATCTAACGGGATCACGCCGTATTGGTCTATTGGCATATTTCGTTCCTTACCACGAATGATGAATCACATTCTGCCTATGATAGGGTAGTTGGGTTCACTGTATTGGCTTGGTCCGTATCTTTCTCCCTTCGTGACAGCCACCGCTATAACGCGAACTTGCCTCGCCCTCATTCTTCACGCACCCAAGTCTTCCTTAATCCACACTTAACTCGTGCAATATGATTGAAGAGTGTACCGTCGATTAACAATTAGGGTATTGTTCTATGATAATCTTCCGCGAAAATTGAGCTATGGTTATTATGCCTGATATAAAAGTTAGCATTATCAGTTACAACTCTCTTAATTCGTTTTTTTCTCACCTATAAAAATAGATGCCGTTTTTGATAAATTAAAATTTATGGTCAGTTTTCATACGTGATATTGCAATGTGTAGGGATACTGATAGCAGGTTTGGATTATACTTGTAACAATGCGTTATATGCATATCTGCAGATAAGTTCTAGGAAAAAGGCTATGTTTAAAGCGACCATGATGCTTACGACCATTTAGCCAGAAGATTCAAGCCCATTGGGTTGAATAGGACTATCGCGTAAACGCGCACATAGCACATTTGTGACCGGGCCACTGTCCTTAGAGAAGAGAGGGAAAGCACAGCTTATCAACCCACTCAACGAGACTTCGAAGGAGGTCAATGAAGCCTTGACAGAACAGATGCTCGATGTTCGCGATCATTTATTGAGGTAAAAGGACTGCGGAAGGCTCGCACGAGTAATAGAAGGGATGTTGTACGAGTAGAATATCGTTTGGGCCATTTGATGACCTTACCGCCCATTTACGTAATTCTTCAAGATAATCGTTGTCACATATTGGACCGTTCTGCAAACGATTCCGAAATGTCGTGCGGCCCGATTCGAATATTAAGCACATTCTCTGTCACCAGTAATACATTTAAAGAGCTTGTAGGTGTCATCTATTTAACATATGCCAATCATTTTGAATGGCCTTTCAACATGAACGAGTTTCAATAGAGAGGCTTGCTAATTTTTAATAGTAAAGCATCTAAAAAATAAATGGCGCTCTGCACTTAATAATAATTTCATTTGAGACAAATATCGAGCTTTCTTCAAAAACAAAACCCTCTATATTATCACCGGCTTTACTTTCAACATATACTGTTTCCTCATTTTCGAGGTGACTAAAGAGTGCAGGATTATCTTGTTATATCGTTGAGCTACAAAGGCAGTTTTCTCACTCACTGCTTAATGCTAGCTTCATTGCAAAGCCCTCGTCACTGTACAGACGAGATAGGTATTCCTAAAAATACTACTGACCGTCCTTGTTATTCTACTGGGCAACAAAGACCGCCCGAATAGCGAGAAACAGGCCTATTCAACGAGCTGCTGTTGCCTGGCAGACAATGGAGCGTATTGTTTCGCAGGCAACTGCCTGTAGTCTAATCAAAACCAAACGAATTTATCGAACTTAACGTAGTTATCTAGTTAAGCGATAGTCACTGTCCTCTGCTGTTCAATAATACGCAATAATAACTGTTATTAATAACCTCAATGATAATTCTGTTGCTGTAAACGTTTAACCACTCCGCACACGGTTATCGGGGTGCTCTATTCACGGCAACGTTAAGGTAAACGGCGTCTTGTTGATAAGACTACCGACATTTACTGTGGCTAGTCTTGGTGTTACCAATGTTATAAGGGTGCCGCTAAGGGACCAAGTAATTACAATCTGTGTACATACATACTACTACGCCTCGACTGGTTGACAAGCTTGATTTTTGTGCATTATCATTATTCAGCCTGGTTAGATCAGACTTTGGCCTGGACTAGGCGCGGCTCAACTTGGCTCATGGGGTACGAAGAAGTGTAGAGGAGAAATGGATACATAGATTAAAGTAGGCATTAAGGATATGAACTAGGGCTTTGCTACCAGGCTGACGGTCCTCCCTGCATCGAATGCCGAACTGAGCTTTCGGAGCCTGGAGAGTGAGCCTGACAGGAAAAGGCAGCTCAAGCTAACTTCGAGCGACTAAGAAAGGAACGCTGTAGACGGCGATGATGATAACAATTGCGATGCTGTTGATAGTGAGTTGGCTTATGAATGTTCTGCGTCTTTGAGAACCTGTGTGAGATGATGACAAAAAAGGGATGAGTTGAGCTCAATCTAAGCAAAGGAAACAAGAAGTGGAACGCATAAGGTATAAAAATAGGCGAAGGCGACATATTCGGTTCAGTAGCTGGCTGAACGGCCTTTCGGCAGGCAGGCAGGCAGGTAGGCAAACATTGTGCGACGTTCAAAACAAGACAATAAGTACGCAAAAAGTAGAGAAGCACGACGAAAGGAAGAAGAACAGAAGGGGATAAGAGAAACTATGTGCAGCTTACTGCAGTAATGACTAAAGAGGGACGGATGACGAGGCAATGACGCTGGTAGCCATGTGAATCGAAAAAAGACTGGGGAAGACCAGCGACGCAGCTCGGAGGAACTAAGGACCAAGAGCAAAATAAAGACATGGGAAAGAGCTAGGCTGGGGGGGGGGGGGGGGGGGTATGAATAAGTGGATCTGGTGAACAAGTGGGGCTAGTCGCTCACTGTGGGTTTCGGCCATTGTTCAGTGTACCGTTATGCTCTCCACTGTTCTATAGCTCTTCTTCCGGCTCTCCGTCGGTTTCTGCAGCTTAGCTGTGCGCCTATTATTCGCATCGTGTCTCCTTATTCCTGCTAGGCTTTTGCCAGTTACTTAGTACCAGTAACAAAATACGAACGGCGAAAGGAATGGTCTATCCGTTGACTGCCAGCGCAGCGTTCACCAGCCAATCCCGCGGTAGCCGCAAATGACTTAACAGTTCTAATGTGGATGCTTGCTAATGACAGAGCGGTCGTGAGAAGCTAGTTGCAGAAAAATGGCGTCACAAGGGAGGGAGACGGAGGACGGAAAAAGACTGAGACAGAAAAGATAAAATGCCGCGGCCTGAACCTCCTTTTGCAGGTGCTTATACTTCCACAACTAGCCTTGTTATGCACACTTGTCACCCTTATTGAGCTTCCAACACCCCTCGATCGCTGCTGATGACTGTCCTTTATACCGCTACCTCAGTATGAACAGACCAAGGCAAAAAGCACTGATCGAATACGAGAGAGTGACTGGAAGATCTTTCTGATCTTACCCGACCTACTTTATCAGCCTGCCTGATAGCCGGTGGCTCGATCGGAGACGACGAAGGTGATTGCACCGTCGTAGCAATAATAATGAAGGAATAATTTTTACTGTTGCTTAATAGACTTGAGTGCTTACTAATTAGTTGGTACCTTTTTCAGAGCTAGCACTAGTTGAAGTAATTGTACATCTCGATGGCAAATATTAGCCTAATTAAATTCTCACATATGAGCCAAGGAGCCACACAAAGCCTATCCGACCTTGGTGGGAGGTGCATCCAATTTTTTTGCATTAGTAAAAGGAACCGCGACGACATGTGCAATACTAAATTACTGGTCCTATACAGCAGCGAAAAGAAATACGCCAGAAAGTGCGGCAATTGTATTTATTGCTTTTAAACAAATGACAGCATTAAATGTTTTTTTATAACATAACGTCACGGCGTAACAGTGTTACAGGCATAGGTAGTTCGCCATTTCATTTGCTTCATATATACAACGCCTTCTCAGTGCTTTAGCAACCAAAATAGAAGCCAACCGCGCTTTTACGTGCGGCGAATATGGGGCAGGCCATTATGTGATCACGTTTGGCACGAGACTGGCGGTTGAAATTAGTTGTGGGCCCGAGGAAGAAGCTGGCCGAGGTTGGTTAGTCGACGAGCTGACTCCGGAAAGATCGCGTATGTCTGCATTTATTAGGTGATGATGTTAACGCCGTCCGACAAAACAGACTATTTCACAGTTTGAGTGAATTGAATTTACTTCCGGGGTGAAGGAGGTTTACTACAACAGTCTACGAATGACTGCATACGCAGGGTGTCGACGGAAGCTGCCTCATGAACATGAAGTGGTCGCTGGACGTAAAAAAATGATAAGGTCCAGGCAGCACAAGGATAGCAAGGCTGTAACTCCACTCAGTTACGCGCGGCACGGTCCGGCAGGAGATACCGAGCAGTTGGGAAACTTAATAGGAAAGGGGTAGAAAACAAGGCGGGGCCAGGCTGAAAAACGCTTGTAAATGGTGCAAGTAATAGGGGGAAGCAGTCGGGAACAGATTGAAAAAAATACTCATCCGAGTCGTTTCTACAGCCATCTAAAGCATACATGCTGGCAGGCCAGTTCATGTCCTGCATTGGGACAGGCTGCCTCATGGTAAAATGCAGAGGAGCCCGTGAGATACCAGCTTTTCAGTCAGCCGGAAACGAGACAACGTGTGGACTCCTAAACCACTTCTTCAACGCCCGTTTTGATTCAGCAGCTTCCTGATCTAATATGATTCGTTCAAATCTAACAACGACTTGTGCATTATGGGTTTGTTCCTTGTGTGATTTCAGTGTGATCCCGCCGTCGGTATGAAGTCGTTCTTCGATATGGTTCACAGCCATCCAAAGAAGTTAGCACTCTTTGGAGCAGCATGCAACGCTGTGACGGACCCCATCGCTAAAGCGTCTCAGTTCTTTGAACTTATACAGGTAAGGCCAAGCCCTTTAGTTCTGCTAAGCTTCAACAGCAGTATATTTGAGAAGATATTGAAAATATGTCAAGTAAAAATTTACTCAAGAGCAATCACATATCGAAGTCGTTGTAGTCAAAACATCACTCCACATGCGATTGTTTTTTTTTTTCAAAAACAACGTCTGGATCCTCAGTCTGTCACTGTATTACCTAAGGAAGAAAATGGCGACTATTGCTTTTGATAAATTACACTGCAGTAGTAGTAATAATGGGTGATCATAAACTAGAATAGATTTGGTTACCTGGTTACACGGTTTAAGATCTATGGGTATGTTTGAATATCTATGTTTGGATACCCTCAGTAATAATCTCAATAGCAACAACAGACGTAGAGGTTGTGTTAAGCGTAATAATAACGGCACTTTTACTAGAACTGGCAATACAACCAGCCATTTAACCGTTTTCCTCTAATAGATTTCTTATATCGAAGTGCTGTACCGGTAAGCCTCTGTTTCGAATTTTGTACATGAAGGTGCATTTTTCCATGTCGCACAACAAGCTGAGTGCAGAAGCTCGACATCAAACGAAGGCACATCTTAGGTGAGATTGCTTGGGCTGGAATTAGGTTGTGTAGAAAATGTAATGCAGGAAAGATCTATCTATCTTGGGTTGACAGCAGTGGTGGTCACACTGGTGATGATGGCAGAAAGCGAATGGGGAGAAGGTAGATGATCTCTTCCGACAGTCGCTTGCAGAGCTGTTAGGTGTTGTACGAACTTTGGCTATGTTCGGGTGAAGATGAGGAAACAACAGTTGCCTTCACAGTATCCTCATATGCCTCGTTGAAGCAGAGCAGTGATGTGGTTGACGCGTCACATAGCTCCCACGCTCTTTCCTGCTCCTTTTCTTTCTTTCTTGGCTGGTTGTACTTGCGCCTATCTGCTGGACCCACTGTCAGCTGTTCCATATCGGCAGTCAGTCCAAGGTCCGCTCGTCTTCCAATACCGCAGAATAGCGCTAGTGTTACGTCGGCCCTCCGCTTTGCCGTACGTTACCGTACGCGGGCCCAGCTGCAAGCTCTGCCTCACGTTACACTAAAAACGGAATCACGAGGGTTACGAATGCGAATAACATGATCTGAATCTCCGGCCGAGCGTACTGACTCAAAGATTTCCCATCGCACTATCTCTGTTCTGGCGGGGTTCCCATCCGCATCTATGATCTCCTTTAGGCTAGAACCCGGTCAAACCCGGTTCCACAGGCAAGCAAATCTGGAAGCACAATATAATGTACTTGCAACCACTGAATGTTAAGGGGGCTGGCAACGGGAAAACGACAGCAAGTCGAAGGAACATCGTCATCTTCTGCACATAATACATGAACAATGTCTACATAGAAGCATGATCCTATCTGCTTCTCTTGTTGACTTTTTAGCTAAATTTCAAATGGATGGTTGCGTTTGCATTGCAGCTGTCGTACGCCGATACGCATCCGATGTATTCAGATGAGAATTATCCGAACTTCTTTCGCGTCGTACCGAGCGAAGCGGCCTTCAACCCAGCAATGGTATCATTGCTCAAGCACTTCAACTGGACTCGCGTCGGGTCGCTCTACCAAACTGATCCCCGTCACTCGCTGGTACGTAGAAAAACTAAAGTCCCTTTGAGATACGCAGTTAAATAAGATACCTAGACAAAACATTTGAAAAACGCAATGTTGAGCCGTAAAATAGCATGTATCGTCGACCAAGTCGCAGCCATCACTACCCACTAGGACGGCTGTATCGGTTTTAAGAAGACCCTTATATTAGAAACAGTTCAATGTACATCATTTAAGGATTGCACCTGAACTTTCCACGTCTGGTGAACATCATCTTTGATATAATGTTCTCGAAGTATGACCGAAGTATATTAAACATTACCGTATGCCAATTGGATGATTATGTATGTTTAATGGAAACTCGCTTTAAAAATGAAGTAGCTTCTTCCTAATATACGATCTAAGGCAAACAATCGCCGTGAAGTCAGACACCGTACTAGTGTAAACGGTGTATCGGGCGCTTAGTCGAACATAAAAACAACTAGGTAGACTTGAGCCCTCATGTGTGTGCGAGACGTTTAAATGATTAGCTAAACTATTAATAAAATTAGAAACGGCCTAGCCCGTTTTCTTTGCCACTATTGATGTGCGTAGTACAGTGGTTTTATCGAAGCCTTCCCTGCCATTTGCGCGGAAGTGGACGTTAGCCAGCGCAGGCAACGGAGCCTGAGCTAGCGAGCTTAACTAAACACATATAAGGTAATTCATTAAGTGGTCATTAGTCAGATATTGCTGCCTTCAGTAATCTGATCTACGCCTGAATCGGGTGGATTGCATATTGAACGTTTATAAATTATCATTTCCAGCCTCAAAATAGCCTCCACACAGAACTCGATAAAGAGAAGATTACTATTGTCCAGATCGAGGGCATTGGTGAGGGGGACGATATAACAGATGAGCTGAATAAACTCAGGGTAAGTTAACTGGCCATTTCCAGTGTGCTTTATTTCTATTAAACGAATGAAATGATCATTTTGTGTAGGTTGAACTTGTAACAAAGTTGTTACCTTATCCCACTTGCATAAGTATTAGTGTACCCCTAGCTGTTACTTCGACTGACGGTTGAGATCTGCCCTTTAATTGTAAATGCGATTATAGATTACAGAATGCATTTCCAGGTATGCCACATGTTCAGCCTATGTGGCAGCCTCTGTCGGTCTGCACACTTCCTACTTCCTCCTATTGCCACCTAACAGTACTCCGGGCAGGCGAAAAGCTATGTAGATAGGCAGGTGCATTGTGTGAGAATGCGGGGACCTAGGACGAGCGAAGACTCATTCGTTGCGGTCCAGTCAGGTTACTTAAGTTATCCTAGAATTTTTCAGTATACCTTATCAAACTAGACAATTTACTCCGCAGACAGAGCCTAGGGGTCGTGCCGAAAGCGGAAACAGAATCTCCAACTTACGTTGCAACAACAGCACCACTCCGCCATTGCTAAAAGCTGTTTACGCGTGTCAGTGCATGAGTATAAACTTTCCGTAAAATGACGGATCATTATGAGATTTCTCGACTCGATGAAGTCCTGCAAAGGCACTCATGGTCTATTCCTATGGAGTATAAGGCTTCTATGTTTCGAAACAGTACTAGCTATCTTTCTCTATGATGGTTTCCACGATCAAACTGGACTATTAGCGTGCCAGTGAAGAGCTTCAGGTCTCCACTGTTGTTTACTGGGTCACCTGGAAATGAAGCCATGAGACAATTTGAGCTTTGAACAGCCTCTCTACTCGGCTCTGCAATAGCTTCCCGAAGATTTAAGCTACGCTTACCTCCCTTTCTCGCTTTTATTTGTGAATAAGCCACGATGACATCTGCTTAAAATAGTCGGCTGTCCGTAACTGGAAATGTTGTTCAATTAGGCGCCAAGACTCTTTAAAATGCCTTCCTTTTTTTAGGTCTGTTAGTTTTTTCCCAGCTAGTCAAATTAAGAAAATTAAAGAGCCAGGCACTTATTTTCTAGTAAACAAACACTTACTGGTAAGCTTGTCACTTAATTGCGTTTAATCCTACCTTTGTTTCTGAAAAAATATATTCGTTGGGGTTGACTGCATTTCATGTTCAGGAAATAGATGTGCGGATCATTTTGGGTAATTTTGACGAGGAGTGGGCTCGCAAAGTGTTCTGCTCTGCTTATCGAGCGAAAATGTTTGGCCGGAAGTACCAGTGGATAATTGCAGCAATGTACCGATCGAACTGGTGGGAGGTCCCTCAGGCTGATGTATCTTGTACCCCCGAAGAGCTCGAGGAGGCCATCCACGGATATATAGGACTTGATCTTCTACCGCTTAGCACCAATGAAAATATCACCGTCTCAGGATGGGTGAGTATCGGCTTTGCTTAGTAAAAGCAAGATTTTTTAAGAAATTATATGATAATTAATTAAAGGAGACAAAGCAACGCTTTTAGAGCAGCTATAGTCAGAAAATTTCCACGAAGTCTGTTAATGGTTGGGGTATTATGCTATCGAACAGATGGAATCAATTTAAAAAGTCGTTGCAATCTAAGTACACCGTCTGGGTTAACGACCGATATGCCCATATAGGCATACATAAAACGCTGGAAAGTACAGAAATCTATTTTTCATGTTACCGCTGTCGTTGATGTTACATAAAGTTTTTTCAACATTATCGCTGAGGCGGGGTGGCTATCGTTATCCAGCCTTTATTATTTTAAGAAAAGTGAATAGATCCTGGTCGATTTGTTATACGGGTGCTTTCTCATTGGCGAACTCCGACTCGAAGGTCACGAGCCTTTAGTGTCGACAAACTTTATGTATAAAGATGAATAAGCCTGGCTGCCAGCAAACGAACTCCGGAAGGCTATTCATACCGAGTCGCTCTAGAAGGTCTAGTAGACACTTAGCTACAGCCACAGCTTGGTGGAGACTAGACTCTCAATCGAAGCCCAGCTGGCTACATCATATGATCGAATACTCCTGTGAACTACAACTGTGAATATATCTATTGACCCCGCAGAAGTTCGTGTTCCATCCATTACGCTTTTTCTTTTTTTGCCAGTGCCCCGTTCTCCGACGCTTGCCTTTGTCAGTTGATTGGCAAGCCAGTCGTCATCAAATGCTTCATTAGACATTTATAACAATTTTTTGAAGCATGATCTATGCTATTGACCTATCTATCTGAGAATACCTATTAGGCTGCGAAGTTTTATTGAAAAACCAGCCATGCATTATAAAAACCCATACATTAAATTCTTTCTAAATTGACTAAAAGATGAAAGAACTGATGTTCACTAGTTAGACTCATCGTGTAAATTTCTTCAGCAACGATGCTTCAATGAGCTATTTCGCTGTAATCCTTCTAGGGTGTGTTCTAAAACGTTCATAAAGCTTATGCACGTTTAGTCACATATATCTGCATAAAAGGCGCTATGCTAAAAATAACTCTTAATATTAGTTATGCAACTTACTTAATAACACCAAGTTTTCTAGAAGCGGGAATTGTGTGCACATAGCGAGTCGAACAAAGTAGTGCAGACATGTCAACATATTGGCGTATGTCCATGTAGGCTCAAAGGGATGAACAGTTAAGTGGGGCAGTCTTTGTAACTCAGGTCCTCATCGTGAAAAACGGGAAAGGTTTACCTTTTCGACGTATTTATGTTTGCTCGATTACTTTACAGACGCCTAGCGAGTACGAAGCGCAGTACAACAAGTTACGTAACAAGGAGTATAGTCGCTTCCATGGATATGCGTACGACGGCATCTGGACTCTAGCATTAGCGGTACATAATGTCATCAATAAACTCCGCGCTCAGGAGACGCCTGGAAGTTCGACAAAAGTGACGGATTTCCAATACCGAAATAATACTTGGGGTCGGCTCTTTCGAGAAGCTCTTAATGAGACCGACTTTACTGGCGTAACGGTAAACAGTATTCTTTTTCTGTATGTGATTATCCCTGCAGACAGGTACTGCTATTGATTGAAACAGGAAGATTCATGTTCAAAGCAAATCAGTATTAATGCTAAGTTTTGTGTACCTTTTTATATTTGCAGGGCCCAGTACGATTTTTCAAGAATGAGCGAAAAGGTCAAGTGTTGATCAAACAATTTCAAAGTGAGTACCAATTAGAAGCGATCGAATTTATTACGTTTTTTTTTCTAGAATTTAAAGCTGGATGGATGCACAGCGCGTAGATTATGTAGAAATGAATCTATTCCGATCTTGATACGCGGATGGAAGTTATTTTACTAGATTGTTGTTGAGTGTAGGCGGAAATAGCCAGAACCCCTCAGGTTTCGGGAATAGGTTCACTTGATACTTAAACTTTTGATTCTTTGAACCTCTAAATTTAGGCATAATACACAGCTTGAATTTGATAGAGATTAGCAACCCTATGCTTATTATGATCGATCGCGGATGAATAAAAACGATGATAGTTAGCCGCGTTCGTTTATGCCGAGCCACTTACTAACTGCTGGTAAAAGACAAATTGTAAAATAGTCACCCTAAATGGCGCCTAGCATGAATTCCATTGTACTGACAAAGTTTTTTGCTGAAAATGTTTAGCCTTTCCGTTGATGTAGTTTATTTATCCCAACAGAACGCTTTCTTTTAAAAGGACAGTTAAAACTGGAGAGACCCCCCCCCGAGCGGTTATTAAATTTTTCTAAGAACGAAAACAAGCGCAGACAACACTTAATGAGACAATTGGCTTGACGCAACTACGGTTACGTTTGTAAACGCTTCGTAAGTAATCTAACGTGGTAACTTCTATTTACCTTGTACTGTGGTAATGGTAATGAAAAATAATGAAGTTCTGGTTCCATGTTAAGTACTTTATAATTATTCCTTTGTCTGTAACGCATCATATTATCCTGTGGATGTTCTGCTGTCGATTACCACACTGCTACTAACTTCTTGAACTCACAGAAGGTCGAGGAGAAGTTAAAATCGGAGAGTTCGATTGTCTCGAGGAGCGACTCGACCTTAATAAAGGACAGCCCATCCTGTGGCGAGGTAAGTGGGTACACCATTTTACTGCTCAGCTTCTGGAGGTCGGGATTATCTCTAGGGGGCAGGGAATTTCGACGGAGCATGGATGGGTGGACCCAATACAGAAGGCGAAACAGAAACTCGATCGGAGTGGTAAGGTAATAACGGATCACAAGTGCTCCGATGAATGGGTCAGCGGTCTTTAGCAACATTTCTTTTACACTACTTAGACACTCACTTGCCAAAAACGGTCGGTACGTCCTTAAGCTATCCCGTATGGAAGCTGATGATAGCAAAAAGAGCCACCACTAGAGGCTGCTGCACCGTTCACGAAAACTCTTCCAGGTGGGTAGATCAGCGTTCCTTCCTAACTCACTAAAACAGCTCAGTTCTCTTCGACGATAAAATTACCCGAATGTATCGAATAGTTGATGCTGTAATTTTGTTACTGGTCACGTCGAATTTCAGAGGGTAGGGCCCCTCCAAAGGATCGCTCGCAGGAGGTGGTTGAACGAACACGTGTTAATCCAACAATGTATGCAGCCGTCAGCGTGACGTGCATCGTTGGCATTTGCCTGGCCACTGTTTTTCTTGCGATCAATATCCGCTTCCGCAACCAGCGCTATATCAAGATGAGCAGCCCTTACCTCAACAACCTAATCATCGTGGGCTGTATGCTGACGTACACCTCGGTCATTTTGCTCGGCATGGACTCAGGCTTCATGTCTATCGACCATTTTCCCTACATCTGTGCAGTAAGTATTTAGAGTATTTAACGACTGACTGTCTAGCGTACTGACTGCGGTATATATCTATCTAAGGTCCTAATTAAATCACCGCTATATTTCTTGGTCTTATATTAGGGTGAGAGGTTGCCGTAGCAATCGAGGGTGCAATATAAAAAAGACAAAGGCATTTAATTTTCTATTTCCTTTTCATGCAGTTCGGCCGTATGTACACATACATATGTATATATGGCAGCCGTAGAAAGTATGAGAAGTTATCAGAAGTTAAACGAGAGCGTAGTCCATTAGCTTGAATGGTAATAGGTTAACTAAATGACAGATTCCGTTCACAGCGGTGCAGTTGTTTGAGCCCAGTTTAACTTAACAGAGAGTATAATGCCTCAATTAATCCCCATTAAAAGTTGAATACTAATTGGGTTTTCGAGATAACCTTTTCTCAAGCTACACATTTGATTCATCTTCGATCCAAGTATAGTATATCGTGTTTGATGCATCGCAAGATGAATTGGTTGTATAGGAAAATCGTCGAAGGATTTTTGAGTGCGTTGGGAGGCTACGAGCTAAAATTGAACGGATCCATCACAGTTTCGAACGCTAGCTCAAGATCTTGGTGTACTTTCCGTTCTGTCTGTAGGCACGAGCGTGGGTGCTCATGTCCGGGTTCACGTTGGCGTTCGGTGCAATGTTTAGCAAAACGTGGAGGGTGCACGCTATTTTTACCAACATCAAACTCAACAAGAAAGTAAGTTATTTCAAATTAACTAGTATCATTTATATTCAACTTTGACTATCGTATTGTTGTATGTCGCTTAACCACGGTTTCATGAGCTTAGCAGACTAATTACTTTCGGCTATTGGTTAGTTGAGTTCATTAAACAACTAATTTATCTGCAAACATTGCTTAACAGAAGTTTTGTGAGCTAGAAAGGTAAAGGCAGTCCCTAAGAAATTCTAGATGCGGCACCTGCACGAAAACCCTGTACATATTATCAAATTAGAAAAATCGATTGTAAAATAGAACAATCTAACTAATGTACGTATGTAACGTAGCTGCCTACTAACCTAAGAAACATAGACGTAAATCTAGATTAGAAATGTTGCCGTAGCCACACCTTATTTGTGCAAAACGAGGATTATGAAATATGATGAATATAGTCATCCCTTCTACTTAATACTTTCACATCGTTCGCATTTCGACTTTGTCCTGATACATGCTTCTAGCAATGCTAGAAAAAAGTGGTATCGAAATCTGCCATATACAAGACCGCTGAGGGTTAGCTAGAGAAAAGATTTCTTTTAAGAGCAACATAAATCGAAATGAGCAATTTTACGTAGGCCGGGCAAACGCTGTATGTCATTTTTCTTTGAATGTGAGTGCGTCTACGCAGTATTAGAGCTAGAAAAACATGAATACCACCTTCCCATCCACGAGCTGACCCGAAAATGCGTGCGCAGAAGTTACGCGCTGGCATGGAACGTCCAGGCCCCTATGCCAGCTCCGTGTGAACACTGTGTACCGCACGTACATGTACGTGTCTGCGTATCTGTACGTCTGATTTTGCCTGTGTGTGCAGACGAAGGCCGAAACAGAAAGGCCTCATGTATTTTGCCCAAGACAAAGAGAGCGAGACAAAGATTTGGCAAGAGTCTGGCAGATGAAAAACGTGCAGATTGGAAAAAGAGACTCACTGCTTTGTACAATTAGAGATACCATTATTATCTCCATGTTTCCATAAATGACCAACGGAACTACCTACTGATGTTTTTCTCGTATTCCCCTGTACATTTTTTATTCTTCAGTAGACTTCCGTCCTTTCACGTCCTTCTCACCCCACTCTCTTCTCGTTTCGTTTTGCCCCGAGCCATTTAAGGCCCTAGTTGCTCCTTATCGTTCCGGTTTTACTTCCGTCACACTCGAGGTCCCTAAGGTGTTCTAGTGCACCAGTTGTTGACGGAGCAGAGACAAAGCTCGGCAGTGGAATTTCAGAAGCGAGTTACCGAGTAGTCTTTTTGGTAAAAACCCGCGAAGGAAATCAATCCACCAGCTGTGAGATTTTGCGTTTCTGAGCAGTTTTTTCTTTCTATAATTCCCTTTACTCGTCTAGCGCTCTTTTCATGCATGTGCCTTTTGGTTCCTATCCCATCCTACTTCTCACCCCTTGGTTGAAGTACCCGAACTTTTGGCTTACGACTTTGGTCCTCCTTTCCGCTTCTCCTTACATACGTACCGATAGTTTCCATCGCCTTCAACATAATCTTCAATATCATCAGTTTCACCGACATCGTCATCAATCATGACATTAGTAAGATAGACATTTCTGCCTCTCCGTGTTAGGCAAGCGTCATTCCTCTGATATAATCCCACAGCCTATAATCTACTGGCATTGCGCGTTCCACCTTTCCGGTCTGTTTCGACCTTCTCATCTTGACGAACTAAGCGATTACCAGAACAGTCAGAATTTAGCCACCCTCCCGAGGATGACGCTGACGCTAAAAATCTGTTTTATTATTGCGTCTTACTGTAGAAACGGAATTTTGATTATAGAATTCAAGCGCTACAAAGGCCACAAAACAAATAAGGCGAAGCAAAAGGTAATCGTATTAGAACGCCAAAACATCATTCATTTTATGATGTTTTGGCGTTCTGATAGACGATTACTACTACTACTAGTAGTGATATCAACTTTTATTCACTTGTTTCAGGTGATCAAGGACTATAAACTGTTTATGGTCGTTGGCGTATTCCTTTTGTTAGATATCATAATTTTAACTACATGGCAAGTTGTCGATCCGTTCTATCGAGAAGTTAAGCGAGGGGATGCCGTGGTGAGTTACACTGTCAATGGTGCTATTTCGAAGAAAGCAACTACTTCACTAGAGTACATGCATTTACTACGATAACATAAAATATATTTTAATTTTAGATACTTATAAGATATATAGCTATAGTTGCTTAAGTGGTGCAGTGAAAAGGTAACTTGATGCGAGTTACTTTCCCACCTATTCGGCTCTACTCGGTCTCGTTGTCTCTATTCGAGTTACGGCCATATGAGGTTGCTCAGACTTGACAGAGACGCCGCTTTTTTTCGTTTGTCACTACAGACGTCAGATGACGACATCGCGGTAGTTCCCGAAATGGAGTATTGTCAAAGCGAGCACATGACTATCTTTCTGGGTATTGTGTACGGATACAAGGGTCTTCTAATGATCTTTGGCTGTTTTCTCGCATGGGAGACTAGACACGTCTCTATACCAGCCCTAAATGACTCGAAGGTATGCCGAATGCACTTGTCCGAATAGACAAAGAAATGAGTTCCGCTAGATACTTGCTGAGAGCCCTTAAAAACAAGGCTTTAAAAAAAAATATGTTATTAATTATGGATTTGCTGACAGAAACCCAGGTCATTTTTCGAGCTTGTCTAGTGCGAGGCTGTGATTAGCTAATTAGGTGCTTTCTCGTCCATGTTATATACGTAATAGCTGTTTGTCTACCTTTGCACTTCTGTTAGTATGTGGGTATGAGCGTGTACAACGTGGTGATCATGTGTTCCATCGGAGCGGCGATATCGTTTGTGCTGAGAGATCATCAAGATGCTGCCTTTATCATCATATCGGTGTTCATTATATTCTGTTCCACGACTACTCTGTGTCTAGTGTTTGTTCCCAAGGTAAGCTCTCAAACACGTATTACGCTGGAAGGAAACATTGCGAGTAATTAGAACTAGTGTGATAAATAAGCACACTCGGAAGTACATGGCATCGTCCCGTTTGCTCGTGGAAATACAAGCGTAATCGCCAACATTTTGGTAATGAAGTTCACGTAAATTTTTTTATAAATACAGTTCATTTTTCCGTCGGGTGTTTAAGGTTGCGGTTATCAGGATTGATTTTGATATACCTTGACGGATTTAGTTCGTAGAAGCACTTTGAGATTGTTCACGCAATAGGGTGGATCTATTGAGTGTAGTTTGTTGTCGCAAGTCGGCAGGTAATTTCTGAAACTTAGCTTTTTCGGTGAACGGTGAAAATCTTGTTAAATAATATTCTATGTATTATGTGCCCTGGCTAACGTTAGACTTATTTTCCCCTAGTAGAACTATTCAAAAACAGCCACATAAGTCCAGCGCGATCTCTGTTTCCACTCTTGAGAAGATAGCTTGGGGATCAGCTTTAAAAAGCTTCATCTTATCATTCAAGTGTAATTCTTTAGAGGCATTTTCCCACACGGGGTCTATTACAATCTAATAAAACATTCACTTGCGATACCTCGATGAAGGATTTTGGCCCCCTTAAAACTAAGGAGCACTGGATGTCACAACAAAGTTTAGCTCTAGACAACCCTTCCTGCCTTTAGGAATGCCCCGGCTTTTTCTCTGAGGGACAATGTCATGTATCAATCTAGAGGAACAGAAAAAGGAATATCTTAAAATATACCCCAAGAATCCTAACTCATTTTTAGTCTGAGCCTAAGGGCAATTCTTAGACAATGTTTTGATATTTGCAAAGCTACAAGGTCTACCACGATTGTAGCGTGCAGCAGAGGATAGGACTGAACGTAAACTGCACTACGTTATGGCATAAGCAATTGGAAGATGACAATAGCCTTCTGAAAAGGAGAGATTTTATGTCATCGTAGTGTATCTATCAGGCAAAAGCCGTTATGTATCTATTATTAACGGGTTAAGAAGCTTTTCACGGGAGTGAGAAACGTACAAAGAACGAACTATAACACGTAGTGCCAATTTCGAGTAACAAAATTGTCCATATCTTGTAATAATAAGAGACGGCATTCGAACAACGATATATGTGGCTGCTTTGTTCATAGATCTTTCTACTTCTACTTTTTTACTTTATTAATTTTGGAATTTACAGTTTATAAATTAGTTTATCACGATTGAGGTGTTGCGATAGGAGTTGCCTAATAACCTTGGATACAAAAGAATGTATAGCAGCTATATGTACGTGTGTGGAGAAGGGAACATTTTTTTACATTACAATCTTAAATCCAATTTGTGACAGCGTTAAATAATTCTATCACGATACAATCTCTAAGCCGTTTTTCCGCCCTGACGAAATACTGCGAATAAACAGATCTTCATCTGTATAAAACAAACTGATCTACACTGACTTGATATTTACACTTAATTCAGGTAGTATTTAAATAACCTTTGATAGGGCAATAATATAAATGAACGACGTAAATTCCCTCATGTAAAAGCGAGACAAAAATCACACGTGCACCTTCGTTCAATACGACCTATCCATTTGTCTACTTCAAAGAGAATTCGCTTTAATTCCAACAGATAAACTTTCATTTGGTACAATTCGCTTATTTCCTAGAATTGTCTTTACCTGCCACTAAGGTTTACTCAGTCGGGTGGTCGAATTCGTACCTGGGATAGTGCAGGTCTATGATCCTTGTGAACCTCTCACTGAAATCGTTGCGTATTAAATCCTTCCTATTCCGCGAATTCAATCTGCCTTATTCCAGTTGGTAGAGCTTCGGCGTAATCCGGCAGCCGGCGAGCAGCGCGTTCGGGCCACCCTGAAGCCGTTAAAGAAATCGAGGAGGGATTCCGATGAGGACACCAACGCAAACCGGATCAAGCAACTGCAGGATGACAACATGCGCTGCAGGACGCGCCTTGAAGAGGTCAGTAGTAGCTATCGCAGAGCTTGACATTTTCTTCGTTGTCAATTTGTCGAAACTTACAGCTCTTATATATTAGGACGCGGGCTTTACATTACTTTTACTTTGCTTCATAGTTTAAATAAACAACTTCATGATCCTTTTTTAATCTGCTATTGAGATGAGAGCATCGTATTTTGCTATTTCAATTTTTACCTTTTCTCTGTAATTTGTAAATTATTTTTATCTAGCTTTCTGTAGTCCGCTTTGTTTTTAGCTCTTAGTGATGTAATTTTTACAATAGAAGTCTGCTTCTATCCCCCTTTCCCATTTTTCACACTTTAGTATGTTTTAGGTTTTTTCCCTCGATATCGTGAGATCATTCTGAACGGTCTTAATCAAAGCGCACCTATTCATATTACCCTGTATTTTTTAAAAATGAAAGGAATTTGAAAATTATTTTTAGATTTCATATCACACAAAAGAATAGAAAGATCTGAAACTGAAAATTAAGAACAATTGCTATAGGTGGCTTTGTTTTTAAACGACATAATAGAACGATAACCGTAACCGTAATCAAATGCTTTGACAAGTAAGCGTAGTCACATATCTGTTTTGTCAGAACGTTTGTTACGATCGTATCGAACGCTAAACACACTTATGTTTGTATACACTGAAATATCCACGCTGTTATGAGTGATAAATTATGTTTTGAACATCGATATCTTTGCAATGAACCGATCTAAAATGAAAATTCAAAGTTTAAAAAAATAAGTATGAACATTGAGTAAGAAACAGCCAGGGCTACGTATCGAGGCTCTGCTAGAGGGCACACGAGACTCTTTTTTGAGGGTAAGAGATAGCCGATGAGGAGTGGGTCTAGGCTTGAATTTTCAAGCTTGCTTATAATAAAGCTGCTTTAGGAGAGAAACACAAGTTGCTTTCTTATAGAGATAGATGCTCAGGGGCCTTCGCTATAAATCGAGAAACCCTGGACACTACGGGCGGCGAAGACCATGTCCGATTTTTTCCTGTATCTTTTAATATTACTCGGATGTTTAACTTAGTATATTTTCGATCTATGGCTTTTATCCATTCTATCTCATATGATGTCTGGTCCAACTGGATCTTCCAGTTTGGATCACCTTGGAATTCCACTAAGAAATCCTCGTTGAGCTATATTATATCGTTGGCATTTTTATGCATTTGTTGGCCTTACGTGATTAAATTAAACATTAATTTTAAATGGAGAAAAGTCACAAAACCGCCACATCTCTCAGAAGAGCTGTTACTTATAATTAATTCGGCAAAACAGTTCCTAATGTATTATAGGTTTTAGACGTACATTGTGACAGTATCTCTGTTAGGGGTAAAGCCGGTAAATGGGCCTGGCCCAAGTGACTAGGCCCAAAAGAGAAATAAAGGCGTTTTGCGCTTACGCACGGGCATACAAAATTTTCCACACAACAAATATTTGGAAAAAAACATGGAAGAAAGATCCGTCGAGTAATAAACTTCTGGAAATCTATATATTATTTTTGCGCCCTATTCAGGACACTTACAGAACTGCTGTATTGTATACAGAAGCATAAGGATCCTGCATGAACATTCAGATCGTACTCTTTCTGTCATTAAACATTTCTAAGGTGTTGCTAAGAAATAGTTATGTCTATGGACTCAGACTTGGCTTTCTATTGAATTTGCAGAAAAGCAAGGAGCTTCAGCAGTTAGTTGCCCAACTTAATCAACCAGATCCGGTGCAGATTGTTATAACAAATTCGCACCATGAGTCGAACGCTGGTGCCAGCAAAATCAAACCCATAAGTACAAGACCTGAAGTGAGCTCACCCTCGCAATCCCAGAATAATTTCACGTCACAAAAAGCAACAACGCAAGGTAAGCGAATATATGTAAATTTAATATGTTTTTTTTATTTATTTAGTTTTTTATTATTATTATTATTATTATTATATTTAACATCTTTTCTATGTTTCTATTCTGTCTTGCTGCTAGACCAAATTTACGTTTAGAATAAAGCAGTTTCCGTTAAGGCTTTCTTTTTTGAAGGGAGGAAAAGAGTTGTTCGAAATAATTAGGACTTTGCCAATATCTCAATACATAGAAGACTATGATAGCGATTCCTTTTGCTTCAGCTATATCGTTTTGTGGTGGGAGACAGACTTTTCTAGCTGATGTAACAGGTTTGAACATTGCCTCAACTCTGGAAGTCATGCAAAGCACAACAACTGGTTACATCCATACGTTTCGGTCATTACAGAGTACAACCCCAGGTTAGAAGAGTCTCAAGCCTTCCGATCGCATCGTCAGGACTCAGTGATATCGAGTTCGGAGGATACCGACAATCTGGTACATCATCACAAGTCCGACAGCAGGTACGTCATTCATTGTGGTGATGTCAACAAGTTCGCTTTTTCTTTTGGCTTTCTGGTAATAGGAGAGATCTAGGTCTGGGTAATGGTAGCGCTGTTGGAGGCGGCGGCGGCAGCTACCGCAGCAGCGGCTGTGTTGATCACGTTAACCGCTAGAACCGTATGGTATGTTATTACGGCTCTACGGACGGAACTGGATAACTGTTTCTTATTAAGTTACACTCCTGACGTAAACCAGGCCTAGGTCTGTCAGTTATACAGGGAAAGTCGATGTCCTTCCCGTTTACTTTGCTAGAATAGAATACGTCCAAATGGAATCGAGTAGCGATGATGGGTCTAGATATGTGGCCGTTTTTGCAGTACACAAGAAGGGTAGGAGGCCCATGTGCTCCTGAGCTAATTCACCGCCTAAACGAAGACATTGCCACACTGAACAAGGGAGAGCCTAGGTTTTTTTTTGGAATTACATCGGTAACCACTGTACAGAAATGAGATTACGCAGTGTCAATGCGCTCGTGTGCGCAGATGTCGAATTGGTGCATTCGGTGTGTGTCGTATGTACATATACGCCTTTCCTCTTTTTCTCCGTGTTGTAACGGCAGGCTGATTACTGTCGGGCGCAGTAACTTGAGCGTAACTTGTTGTTGAATAACTCGTGCGCTGAAGAAACATGCAGAAGTAACGTAAAAAATAATTCGTAGAAATTTTGCAATGACCACTTGCCCACCATTGCCCAAATAACCTAAGGGCTATAGCTGACTTAGGCCGAAAGTTAATGTATTTACGAGCCAAGCGGGGTTAAGTAAACTGAGATGCGCTGGATGGAACTTCTTTCTCTGAATCTTACAGTACGGAAGAGCTGGAAAAACATGGACGATTACTACGCTAGGAGTTGATCTTTGAGTTATGGGTCTTAATATAAGTAGCTTGGCAGGCTCGATTGAAACAGCCATGCGGCAGAATAAACCTGTTCTACGCCTCTTGACCTGGCTTTTAGGCTCTTTGGTATTCGATGGAAACCTCGGGTCTCTTATAGGGAGCTCCCTCCTTTCAATCCGTTGGCATTCGGCCCTTTGAATCGTTCGCGTTTCGCTTTGCTAGTATTAAAGCTAGTGTCGTTCTTCAAATACGAATGGCAAACACTATATCTGAACGCATTCATGAGCACTATCTTCCTTCGGACAGGTTTACCGCTTATATAGATAGCACAATACTATGTATTAGTATGTTATATATTCATATGGTATTGCTTCATGTGTGTTTCGTTTCGTTTCGTGGGTGTTCTATCGCCATATTGGTGCTCATACTGTTTGATTTTTCCAGAAAGCTTTCAATGGCGTCGCTTCAGGGCAGTCTGCTTGTGGCAACCTCGATACTTGAGGGCGCAGTGAACGCATGCGGAAACGTTGGCGTAAGTAACGTTGGTGTAGAGTCAGTGGTGGCCACTGGCGGAGGCGGCGGAGACGTGGGCGGTGGAGGTTCGAGCCTCCAGGCGACACAAACGCTTCGGCCTTTGTCGCTGATTTCAGAGGTGCAGCAGATGATGCAAAGCCAGCAAGTGTGCTATCATTCAGCAGGTGGCGGTCTTGGAGCTACCGGCCGAGATGAATTCGATGATGATTGTATTGATGAGGGACACCACAGTCCCACTGGCCATGAAGACCGGCCGCACAGCCAGGTTCGTTTTACATATTGCAGTTCGATTATAGACCCGTGGGCGTCTGGCACTTTAATACGAAACACATGGACGCGCATGCAGTCACATTTCGGAATCTGTTCACGTAGTTACTAATGGCGTAAAGAGTGAACGCAAATTAGCCACAAACTACTATAGACATATATACGTACACAACGTCGCCTGTAAGCACCGTTCGACAGCTTCAGTTGCGGACAAAATAAAGAAAGCCTATTTGATAGGAAGTAGATAGATCAAGGTAGATCATTGCGGCCTAATTAGTAACTAAACTTTAAACAATCGAGGAAAAGCTCTTGGCCAACACGACATTGAAGTGATGCATACTGCAACATTACTTAATGTATAAACGTCTTACTTGAATTGCCTCCTAAGAGTTTAGGCTGATCTAAACGTGTTGATCTTGCATGATAATATAGTTACCTTAAGTTCCATGCACGTCGCCGGTTTGACAGCCCGGACACAATAAAAACAATGGTTGCCTGACGTGTAAGCATGTTTACGAAATCGACCTTAATCGCACTCATTCGGCCCTTAAATTTCAGGGCTGTTACGGAGTTGGTGTAATATGTTCGTCGCAGATGAATTATCGCAATCGTAGCTACGGGGTAGAGAGCGTCACTTCTGCCAGCAATAAAGTCGTCTCTAACAACATTATCGACTGCGGTATAAACGGTTGGTGCTACAAGTACTAATATGCACAAGATGGAATATCATTTTCGGCTTCATAATAACCATATTCAGCCATTTTAGTCTTAGCTAAATATGCTTGCTCAGTGATTCGCGAAGAGTACGTAGTCATTTGCATATCGCTTCATCAGAAGTGCCTGAAAAAGAAGAAGAGACGGGCTCGCTTTTTTTTTATTTCTATTAAAAGCAATACCTTTGTCGCTTGCGGCTAGCGCTTCCAAGAGACAGAAGTACCATGTTCAACTTGAAGATATGAAGGGCAAAACGCGTCAAATCGGCGCGACCTTTAGATAGTGTATACAAAATAAAGTGGGTCTGGGGCATATATGTACACTGAGCTTCCAAGTTTCTCGCTTCTTTTGTTCGTTGTCGCCATCATTGTCGAATTATTGATGCCCTAATTTTTCCGACTAGAAATTATTTCCCATCTGCTCCATTCCTACCTGGCGCCCCTTTCCTTTATTACGAAAGCATTCCACAAATTCTCATATATCCTTTTATTTTCACTAAAGGCGATTGGGATGAGCTCCGTTTAGGACAACAAAATGAACGCTGGGTCTCGTCTATCATTAGAATGGGGATATATCTCGGACGGGAGCAGAACACTCTGAGGCTTTAGAGGGTTTTCGGACGGCTTGAAAATCAAGCCGATAGAAAAAACGAATAAGTGTGGGGCATACCGCCCTTGACACAAGAACCTAACAGCGGTAGCAGCGGTTTTAACTCTGTCCGCTGGGACTTTCACTCTCTTTCAAGTCTTGTCAGAGCTAATTTTCATGCCCTAAGCATCCACATCCCCATCTAGTGACCCTTACGCCGTCCTACTTGGAAAGCAACTTCGCGAATTCTCTTACGCAACGGACTAAAGACGTGGAGGGGGGCGCTTCACTACTACGAACTCGACGGTTATGAAAGGGATAACGAAGGTTGCTGAGCATAATGCGGGTGCAGGCGGCTTTCAAGGAAGGAAACTATGGATTTTTGCTAGTGCTAGTACAGAAACGTCGTAACGGCGCCAATAATGGCCGCACTACTTCCCAGGGAGGCGTTTCAATGGAACAAGAAGACAACCGTGGCCGCCAAACCAACCAACAAATCAAGCACACAGCTAATTTACATTGTCATTGTAGCATAATACACACCTATGGGAAAAAATGAGAAAAAAGTTTGAGAAAATCTTCAAGGCTGTGGTGTGGCTGAATTTTGAAGTCCTTTTTGCGAGCTGTGAAACAGGTCTCGATGAATCCGACATCGACAAGGAACTTAACCGCGATGGGCCCGGACGGGCACTAAGCGGTCCTTAACACCGGCAGGTTGGACCGCCGTACTGTCTAGTGGACTACACGGTAGAGAAAGCTAGGTAGGCCCTATGATATAATAGACGCATAACGGCTGATTCTTTCGCTACTGAGTGGTTGACTCAGTGGCCAGAGAACTACGGAGATAAAACTTTGCAAGGACAAGGCTCTAAAAATAAGCCGTCTAAGTCATTTTCGCTGTTTTAATGCTTTATTAGTTATGGTGTGTGCATGAAAAACTTTGTGAGTTTATGCTAGTACGTCTGCGTAAGCGTCTATGCGTACTTGTGCGTTCCACAATGGCTCATGGTAACGTGTAGCTCGCACGTCGACACACTCCGTTTTACGCTGGAAGCCGACCCTTTGAAGTAGTACTTAGTGGCAGTACGAGGCGTCAAAGTCGAAGCTTGTGTATTTCTACGCGTTGTTACAGGAATCACACTATCCAAAACTTGGCCAGAGCCGAAGACGCTCAGAGGGGTCATTCAGAGCGTCTATAAGCAAGCCAAGAGGTTTCAGCGGGAAGGGGAAATCTCGCACAACGACATAAATATGTAACTGCTTTCGTGAACCAACATCGCGCACTTTCGTGTGACAGGAACCATCCGCCCTTAGATCGGAAGCGTGCTGTAACTCGATTGAAAGCACAAGCATATTAGTAGTGTCAATTATAACATTTCGTCATAAATCAGGGTTCGCTAATCATCCGCCATATACGATGGTGTCTGTGTGTGTATCTGCATTTTATTTTTCCTCCGCTTTTCCATCCTTATTCAGGCGTTAACATGTCAGTCAGTAGGCTGAATCCTGAGTGCACTTGCATCGTTGGCGCAAGCGACCACTCTATAGACTCACGTGTGCGGCGACGAACGAAGAGCCTTGGCGCTCTACGACAAGGGCAGGCTCAGGTTGACACCGAGGTCGAAGGTCACACAGCCTCGCAGGCTGACAGCGGCACGAACAGCGGCGCAACCTTGCGTGATCTTACAGCATCGTCTCAATTTCTACCGTACCTTTTCTCGAACCAAAGCGCCGTACAGCAACAACAAGATGGTGGGCACCATCCGACCAACTTTCATCACCCTGGTAGTGCCGCCAGTGGCCTTAATCATCAAGATCGGGCGGCCCTCTTCGCAAGTTACCCCTCCGTTAAATGTGATATAGTTGAGTACTTATGATTGTTGCTCGGTTAAGCAGTAACTATTCCTACTATTATATTATTATAATCATAGCATTATTACACAACAAATGCACGTAAATGGGACGATAAGGAAAAATTCAGCGGTAACTGTAATGATCAAGTGGATATAGTGATAATTAAAGGAGGGGAAAATATCTAGCATGGTTTAGATGAAGTATTCTAAATATTACCGGCTTCTTCGCGATATATTATTGTACAAACAGACAGTGTTACACAACAGTATAGAAGATCAGTGACGGTGAAGATTCGTGACAAATGCTAGTTATGAATACTGCTTTACGCGACTCTGAGATTTGCATGTGATCTAATTGAACAGCAGTAGCAGCGAGAGCGTCCGCTTGCGCAAGAATATCTATCTCACTATAAAACTCTACGATCCTCTGTTGTTTAACTCAGTACGTTACGTTGACCGTTGTATGAAATTATCAATAACGAAAATAGAGCGTCGTGTGAACGTTATAAGTATATTCGCCATTTTGCTAAACCCAAACTTTTCATACACACACACACACACACACACACGAATATGTGTTTCTGTACACACGTGGATCTACATTAGCTTTGTTAAAGCAGCAATTGTCAGGGTCATGCTGATGGGTAGCGGTGGCGTAATGATAGACGATAACATCAATTCGACAATTACAGAATTCATTGACGTTCTTTCTGTGTTTATGTGTGTGTGTGTGTGTGTGTGTGTGTGTGTGTGTGTGTGTGTGTGTGTGTATATGAAAGTGTACGAGTTTATGTACTGAGTGTATGCTCCCTTGCGTACGTGTGCATGTATTTCTAAACGACGAAGCCTAAAAATGTCTATTATGATTAAAAAAGATGAAAATAGTAAAGTTGTTGAAAGGAATCGAATTAAAAATTGTTGTGGCTATCCACTTGGGTGTGTGTTGCTAGAAACTGCGTAATGGCCCGTGCATGCGGCGACCTAAAGCCCATGGCAACGGAAAAGGGTAAGCCAAACATGCATGAAATAAAGCACTGGACAACACATTGTGGAACAACGAAGACAGATGCTCGGAAGATGCAGGTTGAAAATAGGCAAATTGGCCAAACAACAACAACCTAAGGAAGTCAAGCAACTAAAAAGTTTATTACCAACCACTTTGTGGATGAACTATGTGTTTAGCGATCACTGACAAACAAACGAAACGAAACGAAACACATTAACAGCCGACTACAATGAGAAAATAAAGGAACGCCGATAATGCCACGCCATTTTCTACAAAGTTTTTTCGACCGTTTGATTGAGATTGACAGACGATACGATAAGAAAGAATATTAGACGATCGAGGACGGCATGAGAGGCAACAACAGATATAAACAAAGACAAAAAGAAAACGAAATAACGATGACCATAAGCAAGCACGAAACAAAGCAATCGCAATGGAAAAAACTATTGACTTAAGTAAACATCGGCAATCTTACTACTGCTGCTGCTGCTGCTGCTGCTGCAACGAATTGCCAACGACGATGACAGCTTTGTACATAAAAACACTAGATGACGATTAATTATAACAAGCAGATGGACAGGACGATTCTTTAACAACAAAGCAACACGAATGGCGCTAAAAGTAAACACCATCACCACCAAAAACAACAGGAAATTATAGGTTTTGACCCGACCGACCGCCGCAGACAAAATCCATATCGAAAAAAGACTATGTACAAGAAAAAGATGGTCAAAAGATAGCGGAAGATCAAGAAGAGCCTAGTGGAAGTGTGTATGTTCTAACAGTTTAAAAAGGATAAAAGTCATCTATAGCGAAACAACTACAGATGTAAACATTGGCAATCGGTAGGAAAATTGATGGCCATTAATAATGCCCAGGCACGAAGTGGGTTAGACTATACGACCACGGGCCAGTAAGAGTGAACTAAAATGAAAGGTTCAATTTGCTGAACTGCCCGTGCAGACAGACAAACAAACAAACAAGCAGTAGTAGCAGTAATAACAAAAACTACCTTCCCCCCCCCCCCCCCCCCCGTTTTAATAACGTAGCAATTATAGTTATAATATGAAGACGATAATCGTGCGCAATATTATTACTGTGACGTTCAAATGCATTTTTTTCAAATAGATAATATACATAACACTTGGTATGATATACATATAAGTAAGTATTAGTACTATAAAAGATATTATTCTTGTATAATTGAAGGTGATAACGGATGGCCTGTTCAATAATTCAACGAGTGATTCAATGTTAATTTGTTAACCTCTTTTTATTGGGCCTTCCGGTATTGTTAAAAATGTTTAAAAAAAAAAAGGCAAACCCGATAGGATAAGTCTACCACAACGTTCCAATCATATTTTTATTGCTATCCTATTTAAATTAGTTCCTTCCCTGCACGTCAAATTTTCAGTGTCCTCGAGGGTCATTACCCCTTTTCATGTGCCCACTTTCTAAATATTAATCCGTTACAAATGAATATGGTGGGGTTCAAAATTGAATACATTTTGAACTAGTTTACCTTGAATATAGTTTTCTTTAATATGCATTAGAGGCACTTTCCTTTATTTTTCTGACGCTTGTTCCAGCGCTGTGGCAGTTTCTGAATAGCCATATACCTACCATTCGCATTCTCATGGGCAGTCTGTCTATTTGTGGCTTTTCAAAATGAACTATTTGTTTTCACGGTGTAAAAAACCCCGTAATTATACGAACCTAGGTCGAGACAATAGGCGGATGAAGCACACGTCAGATATTTTTTGCTTGACCCAGAAAGTAATTGAGGCTGATTATGAAGCTTTCGATTTCCGTGCCAACGGTCTTCGAGCCTTTTGAGGGACTCAAAGTTGCGGGCTGCATTCATTATTTCGTTTTCGCCCAGTTTTTCATGCTGCAGACCTTTTTGATGCCCATTGCATATACTACCGTCATCTTACATCCGAACTCATTCGACACTGCCATCGATTTTTCTCCAAGACGACGCCATCGTCGCCTGGTACTTCTCCGGTTGGCTAATATCTCATCTATAACGACCGCAGGATCCAAACAGGTGACTGAAATTCCGCACGTCACACGTGGAATACACTACATGCACTTTAACTTGCCCGGAGTCAAAACCTATTTTCTTTCTTAACGTCAGCATTTTCAGTATTTCGATTCTGTGACAAGTTGCATGTAAAATGCCGGTTTTAACCGACAGAGCCTGCAGACTCCAAGCTCTGATTTCCTGAAATGCTTTCTCGATTGCGGCAATCGATCGATCGGTCAGTCCGGTCCCGAAGCCATCCACGTACTGCGCTTGTGCTCCAGGCCTCTTTGCTTAATGTCTTCACCAATGTTCAATGAATTTCCGCAGTGCTGTGGCCTTCGAGCAAAAAAATCTCTTGATCATTGGCTTTAAAGAGCAAACGATGTTTTTCGTTCTGAACTTTTCTTTTAGAATAGGCTCAACCGGTTTGCACTCACAAGTTCCGAAAAGACTGAAATATTTACCAGCTAATTTTTTTTCTGCTAGTGGCCCGAAGTTCAAAATGTAATCAGGTTCAAAGCCGACGCGATTGACTTACAACATTCTAGTATTACCCAGCTGAAATTTTTTATCTCCTATCAACGCAGAGTTTTATAATAATTTGCTAACGCTAGAGGTTTCTAAGGTCTGGAATGGCCTTTGGCTTAATGATCGACATTTAGTTACGCAGCCCCGGCAAGAAACGCCGTTATCTCGCTAATCCCACCGCAAGAACAATGGGGGTTCCATGTATTATACAAACTGTGTGAACGCCGTGTTGTAAAGCCGTTAAAGATACAGATTTAGCCGCTCCGACGGGTCTCTTTACATAACTATATATAGACCTCTAGATAAAAATATACATATAAAAAAGACTGTTCTGAATAGAGACAAAGATGAAAGATGTATTACATATGATTGATCGACTGACTATCACTAATAAGACAACAATTGTTTGACAATTTTTTACCATTGTGACGTCGTGGTCGCCGTGACGTCGATTCATACATAAACAAATATAAACACGGAAACAGTATCGAGTTCGACAAAATGCTATATGAACAATATGGCAATAATCATAATATTGATATTAAACACCGCAATAACATTTATTATAATACCGATAAATAAAGTTGATATACATATTTGCTATCGGAGAAAAATAACATTACCTCTTACGATAATAGTAATTATCTCTCTCTGTAATATTCATAGTACACAAACCTCTGGTATTAACGTATAGATTTCGTACTTTTCCCCTACGTTTGTAAACAAATAAGGGTTAGCAGGTTTACGATGGTCGACAGGTAAATTTGGAACAGGGTTTGTTTTCCATAGAAATTTTCTATCCAAGTGGACAGTACATTAGTGGGTGAACTTAGTTGGGTTACTATGATTATCGCAATGGTTACGCGACTAAATAAAATCGTTTTGTTTTAGGCTTAGAAGGCCCAAAGGTGAGTGCGTGGCTTCGAAAGCAACAGTGTATTTTTCGTTCGAAAATGACCATATAGCGACAGTATCAGTCAGTAACGAACTCTATTGCGACATGTTGTGAACCAAATGAGGATATTGGAAGCAAATAACTTTCAGTTTCAACACGATAGGCCTACTTTCCGTATCGCACGGTAAACCATCAAACAGCTTGAAAATGTGCTTCGTGAAGCCAAATAATCTCGATGTGCAGCGAGAACTTTAAGCGGCCTTTCCGGTCCTATAATTTGACCTCTCTTGATTTTCTTCTTACGGAACTATGTCGAGGACAGAGTCTATGAAATAAGACAGAAAACCATCCGTGACCTTAAGTGATTAATGAAACTGGCTCTGAACTACGCATGGCTGTGATTCCAAATCAAGTTTTTGGGGAGACATTACGTTTGGTGCAAATTTAACCCTCCGGGGCTAAGCGAAAAACGTGGAAATAGGAACACGCAGAGAAATTTTCTTGTGTTTCCCATTCCGAGGACATTGAAGCTACCAGCTAACTTCTTGCGCATCCTCTAGTAACAAACAGTCCGCCAGTATAGAAAGGCTTAGTGTTTAGCCACGTAGTCTTTATAAACTCTAATTAACACCGACACCAATAACAATAACCTAGTTATTAAAATACAACTAAACTAAAAAAAACGTAAAGAACACCGCAACGGACAAACGACAGCTACAGCATTAGATACAAGCAACGTAAGAGAAGTCATTTGATCTTCAAAGGCAATACGGAAGATATTCCATTTAATAGCATCGGTCCAATTTTAAGCTTGGCATGAAAGAGCTTTTTGTGATAGAAGTTAATTAAAATAATTTTAATTATTGTTAATTGCTGTTACAACTATTATTCAATATAATTCCATGAGTTTTAATTCAATTTTGCAAAATATATATATATATATATATATATATATATGTGTTGATTACTTAATTCCCCTAAGACACCTATATGTACAAAATCAATTTCAGTGCCCACACTCAGTGGGTCTATACCGATATGCGTCCTCTGCGTGTTTTGCAAGAATCATAACCATTAGAGCTATGGCCCTAAACAAACATATAACGTTTATTAAATTGTTTGTTCAACAATCAACATACAGACAATTAACATGTCACTTTGTACGCAATAAAGATGGGCACTTATTACATTCGGACATTGAGTAACTACTGACTCCATTGCAATACAAATGTGTAATTACTAATAAACTAGCTATTGTATAATGAAGTAGTTATTCAGTATCGATATGGTTATAGCTGAGAACGAGTGAGAGGGAGAGAGAGGGGAGAAAGTGAGAGTGTGAGAGAGAGAGAAAGCGAGAGAAACAATAGTAAAAGAAAGAAAAACTAACCACCAGGAATATGGTGACAGTGCGCGCGCAACCTCGATTGTATACCTCTGCTCAGGCACACGACATGACTGAACTTCATCTTCTACTGCTATTACTACTAGCGAAGGTGAGTTCTGCAGGTAGAGCCTCGAATCGCGTTGCCTCCGTCACCATCGTAGCGTCAAGCGCATGGTTTCCCCTCAAATACAGACGCTATAGAACAATTACAAGCTTGCAAGAAGAACGACAACGACATGATTCATATAATATTGTAAGACAATACTATATATTTTAAACGATCAGCTGGAATAAACAGCTATTTATAGATGAAGACGAAGAAAAATGTAACTAAGAATTCGGGCACGTATACGTGTACGTGACGTAGTTAATTGCAGAAGGAATTCATTTGTTACGGGTAGCCAGGATCGCGCGGCAGCAATTGAGCCATGTTTAAAGCTACATCAAACTAGTATTATGTTCGAAATGCAGTACTGTGTGACATATTGTGTTTTACACTTTTGTTTCCGACGTATCGCACTTCGAACCATGGACCACTCGTTGAGATATACAAACTACTAAATTTTGGTCGATTACGACTCTAGAAAGTATTACTCTAAATGCCCGTGTCCTGTTTATCTTTGTCATATCGAGGTGGATATCATATGGCGCCACGGTGGCCCATCGGTAGACACGAGGTTCTTGGTCTGTGAGCTCGTCCTGTATTTTTTCTCAGTCTGCTGCGCCCGCCTCGCACCGGAAGACACGAGACTTTGATGAAATAATCAAATAAAACGTTAGATGAACATTTCATATAATCATTAAACGAGCAATCAATGACGGCTTGCCAATCGTATGGAATTATGTGGTTTGTAGAGCGTTATTGTTTCTCCTATCTGCCACATATAGAAAGTTATAATTCGCTATCGGGTCAGTGCGTTCCTTAGTTCATGACTGTTGACGCGCATCTGCGTACTTTTTGCAGCTGGGCCGGCGCAGCGTAGCCGATTGTAAAAATCGGCCTTGTCCATATATATATATATATATATATACACATATATATAATCACTGTACGTGTTCGGGAATCATTATTGTTACGTCTAACGGGAATCCTGACCGTCCTCAGACCTTTTCTGTCTTCCCTTACCAATGACGACAGACAACTCAGATTCATCTAGATAGATAAAGATAAT